TTAATTCTCCGGGTTGTTTTTATATTTATATATTTATTTTCTTTTTCTGTTAAAGCAATTAATCATAAAATATGTATTCTAATTTTCCACGTAGAATGATAAATAAGTATTTACGTATTTATTTTCTTTAGTTCTTTATACCAGTATTTAAAGCCCATGGGTAAATAAATTGTGTAAATACATCAGTCAGTAATAAATGTAATTTATAGATGCGATATCATAATTCGCGTGTTTGGTAAAGATTTTAAACTACAATTTTGCAAAACTTAAGGAATAACACATATAATTTTAAAGTATACAACGCATGAATTCGAAAGGTATTTTGTTTAGAGGCTAACGTGAATTTCACTTGTACAGCATTCGATACATTAGAAATCAAATCAACACCTAACTAAAGAAAAATAAATGCCTATAATAGCCCGCTGTCAAATAACTTTGAATTTTTCCGGATCAAATTCCGAGATCGGAGAAATGAAGGAAATCAATTATAGATGTAAATCTACGTCAAATGCACAGTTGAATTCTGAAAATTTATCAATGTTCTCCATAATGTCACTGATAACATATACAGAGTACATGTCACTGTTAACATATACAGAGTACATGTACTGATCGCTGCATAAACAACAATGATCGATCCACAATCCTATTACTGTATCGGAATGTGCAAGGGGCGGGGCTAAGTGGCGGCGAGATTAAAGCGGGGTCCGTTTCATGCATCAATGCGTAAAGCGGTCCCAGAAAGCGAACGCCGGGTTCGCTATAGCGGACCCCGAGCGAACGCGGAGCAAATCCAAAGCGCACCCAGAGCGGTCGAAAAATTTCCGAAAGCGAACCCGGGGTCCGCTTCGGGTTCGCTCTGGTGTTAGGTTGTGTGCGGTCGGTACTGTATAGTTAGACTGGCTTGCCTGTCTAATCCTCGATATACAGACAGGTGACCAGTAGTGTAAAGAGCCCTCTACCGGCTTCGCTCATTGGCTGATAAAACCTCACGCTGACGTAGAAATTTAAATGTGTCGGGGAAACAAAAACAGATCACAGAGTGCATAGACACCCTTTACAATTATAATTTTTGGAACATTTTAGGCCTACATGTACATATATTCGGTTTTTAATACGTAATACTTTTCAAAAGTTCTCTACATTTGTTTTTTTATGCAGTCAATCTATATTAACATTTCAACTGGGGCCTATATATGATTTATTTTATGTTCTTATTCCTTTCCACTCAAACGAACAGATTTATAAAATAAATAACAACACGCATGTGATAGATACAGAGGCGCTCTCGTAAGTGCATTTTTGTCCCCCGCTTTCGCGAAAGCGAGGGGACATTAAATCTCATTCGTCTGTCCGTCCGTCCGTCAGTCTGTCCGTCCGTCACAAAAACTTTAACCTTGCCCATAACTTTTGATTTAGTGGAGCTATGACTTTCATATTTTATTGTATATTCCTTGTCACAAGACCTTTCTTTGGGTACCACTAAATTTGACCTTGACCTTGGAGTTTGATCCACTTTTACACAAAAATTCCAAATTTTTACTTTAGCCATAACTTTTCAATGGTAGGTACTAGGACTTTCATATTTCACATATGTATACTTTGTAGCAAGACCTTTGATTGGATACCAATAATTTTGACCATTTCATCTTGACCTTGGAGATTTCCGTACTTATCAACAAACTTTAACCTTGACCAATACTTTTGAATGGTAAGGGCTAGGGCTTTCATACTTCATATATATAATTCTTGTGAGAAGACCTTTCATTGAAGACCAAGAACTTTGGACCTTGACCTTGGAGTTTGACCTACTTTTCAAAAACTTTGACCTTGGCCACAACTTTTGAACAGTAGATACCAGGACTTTCATATTTCACATATGTATTCCTTGTGGCAAGACCTTTCATTTGATACCAATAACCTTGACCTTGGAGATTTTTTGTACTTATGAGAAAACTTTAACCTTGACCATAACTTTTGTATGATAAGAGCTAGGGCTTTCATATTTCACATATGTATACTTTGTAACAAGGCCTTTTATTGGATACCAACAATATTGACCTTTTGATCTTGACCTTGGAGATTTCCGAACTTATCAAAAAACTTTAACCTTGACCATAACTTTTGAATGGTAAGGGCTAGGTCTTTCATATTTCGTATATATAATTCTTGTGAGAAGACCTTTCTTTGAATACCAAAAACTTTGCCTCTTAGACCTGGACCTTAAAGTTTGACCTTCTTTTCAAAAACTTTGACCTTTCTCACAACATTTGAACAGAAGATACCTTGTGGCAAGACCTTTCATTTGATACCAACAACTTTGACTTTTTGACCTTGACCTTGGATATTTTTTTTGTACTTATGAGAAAACTTTAACCTTGACCAAAACTTTTGAATGGTAAGTGTATTGTTATCGGGTATCTAATAGAAGTATGCTAGGTCCGCCAGTAGGACTCTAAAAACAGTAGAACACCATGTGTGTGCGTCCACGTTTATTCAGTTCCAAACGTACAACATGCGTTATGCAAATCAAATCAATTCGTACATAAATGATTCTTGATAATGTTACATCTCCCTTTTTCCAAAGTTTTTTGAAATTGATATAACATAGAAAAATAATAAAAAGTTCAGGAATTATCTGATGTACAGAGTTTTCAATTAAATAAACATTACATTGATGGTTTGATCTTCGGAACACAAATTCTGCCTGAGCGTGTAATATAGGGTTTGTTTACATTTTTGGATGGGGACATTTCAAAGTTAAGAATGGGTGGGGAAGAGGCAGATGATTTGGTTGGTGTGTGTTTAATGGGGCTTAACTCTGAGTCATCTGCTTGAGCATCAGCCAGAATAGGCATATTAGCATCAAAACTGCAAGTAGGTTCATTTGTTTTCATGAGATGGCGCCTATTCCTACGGTAAGTACCACCATTAGGGGCATTGATGATGTATGACCTATCATCCAGTTTAGAAAACACAGTAGCAGGCTTCCAAGTTTTGTCATCCTGTTGAAATCTAACACTATCTCCTATCTCAATAGGGGCAAGTGGCTTTGACTGCTTGTCAAAATATTGCTTTTGGTGTTCATGATTTTTGGTTAACATGACCTTGACCTTTTGGTGATCAATGACCTTTGGAATAAGTTGATCAGTAAGAGTTGGTAAGATTGAGCGTAATTGTCTACCCTGGAGGAGCTCAGATGGGGAATAACCAACTTCTAATGGGGTAGTTCGATACTCGAGAATACCTAAATATGGGTCACGGTCATCAAGTTTGGCTTTCTCGAAAATGCGCTTAGCAATTTGCACTGACTTTTCTGCTAAACCGTTCGACTGAGGATGCCTTGGGGAGGAAGTTGCGTGAATAAAGTCATACTCTCTTGAAAAACTTGCAAATTCTTGAGAAGAATACTGGGGGCCGTTGTCTGACACTACTTTTTGGGGGATGCCTAACCTAGCAAACATGCTTTTAAGCTTCGTAATTATTGTTTTGCTCTTGGTATCTCGAAGCTGGACAACTTCAAAGTGTCGGCTGTAGTAGTCAGTGACAATTAAAAAATCTTTGTTGTCTCAAAAGAACAAATCTGTGGCAACAATCTGCCAGGGATAATCAGGCACTGGGTGTGGTTGGAGGGGTTGCTTGGGATTAGAGTATCTGTTCTTCAGACATACATCACAATTTGACACTAAGTCATTGATATCAGATGAGATTTTGGGCCAAAATACTGATGTGCGTGCCCTCTTGAGTGATTTCTCAATACCAATGTGACCTATGTGAATACATTCTAGTATCTTAGCTCTAAGTGAGTGGGGAATCAGAACTTTGGTACCCTTAAGCAAGATACCATCTGTGATGGTCAGTTCATCTCTGTGATTCCAGAATTCTATAATTTGAGGGGGGCAGTCTCTACGGCATTCAGACCAACCATTAAGTATGGTGTGTTTAAGCAACTGAAATTGTTCATCAGCATCTGATTCTCTCTCAATCTCTGTCAGCTTTCGACCATAGATATATTGATGGAATCGCTTGCAACCAAACAGGATTGCAAACATTTCCTTCTCTATCTGAGCGTACTGCACTTCACTTTGTGTGAGGCTCTTAGATGCAAACGCTATGGGTTTACCTTCTTGCATTAAAGTCGCACCAAGACCATATTTTGATGCATCACACTGTAGTGTGGTGACCTTGTGAGGGTCAAAGTAAGCTAACACAGGACTAGGGCTAGTAGTGATTAGGTCCTTAACCTTGTCAAATGCTTCAACCTGGGCACTATCCCAATGAAATATCACATCTTTAGCAAGTAGCATTCTGAGGGGACTTGTTATTTCAGACAAATTGGGTGCAAATTTGGCTAAATAAGTGACCATTCCAAGAAAGGTTTCTAATTCTGATTTATCCCTTGGGGCTTCATGTCTCGAACTGCAGAGACTTTATCAGGGTCTGGACCCACACCCTCGGAGGTTAGTAAATGACCAAAGTACTTGACCTTTGTGACCCCGACCTCTAACTTATCTTTGTTTAGCTTAACACCTCTCTCTTTTGACCTTGTGAGAACTTGACGCAAGTTCCTGTCGTGCTCTTCTCTAGTTTGACAAAACTCAAGTATATCATCGACCAGAGCTACGACACCATCAAGACCTTCATAACACTCATCTATCTTTCTCTGAAACTCATCCTGTGATGACTTGAGTCCAAAAGGGAGTCTGAGATACCTGTAACGTCCAAATGGCGTATTGAACGTAGTGAGGTAAGAGGATGCTTCTGACAACTTAATGGTCCAATACTCACTTCTAGCATCTAACTTAGTGAAGAACTTAGCTTTTGAGAGCTGGGGTAGGACATCCTCTAGTGTTTTCATTGGATAATGGGGTCTAAGTATTGCCTTATTAAGGTCTTTGGGGTCAAGGCAAACACGGAGTTTGCCGTTGGGCTTTTCAACAACAACGAATGAACTCACCCACTGAGTAGGCTTAGTGACCTTGCAAATAATGTTCTGAGATTCCATTCTCTCTAGCTCGGCTCTTAACTTATCTTGAAGGGCCAATGGTACCCTTCTAGGTGGGTGTACGACCGGGTGTACGTTAGGGTCAGTGTGTATTGTACAATCCCCTGGGAAAAGACCAATCCCTTCAAATACCCCCGAGAACTCTGACAAAACCTGACTTTCATTCATGGGCTTACTACTAGTAGCTTGTTTATTGTTCTCAACTGTACCCAAGTCACACGAGTATACAAGTTTGATCAGACCAAAATCTAAACATGCTCGCATCCCTAAAATGGGAGGGGAGGTAGTATCGACAACATGAAATGTAAGGTTCTGTAATTGACTTTTGTAAGTACAAGCAAGCTCTAGGCAACCAAGTGAATATAGGGAGTTACCATTGTAGGCGGACAACTTTTGATCAGTTTGCATAAGATTGTAAACATGGGACAAATTCAATGAGCCAAGTACATGCTTTGGTAATACATTAACCTGTGAACCTGTATCTAATTTGAATTTGATCGACTTGTTTTTTGGACCAATAAGCAATTTACAAAATGCTTGATCATTGTTGTGATTGGTTTCAATAATATCAATGAAAAATTCTGGGTCTGAATCTGACTGCTCTGGCAAAGCTTGTAATTCATGACATGAAACTTTCTTAGAAAAACATTTTGTAGCAAAATGGTTCCAACCATTACAGTTTTTACATTGTTTTCCTTTCGCTGGACATTTTGCATGCTTTGAATGATCATACCCACACTTATCACACTCTTGTGTCTTCATCTTGTGTTGATTCCTCGGCTGAGCTTGCGGGAATCTTTTCTGCTCTGTATCCTTGGACATATGCTTGGAGGAGTGCTTAGAACTACCACGAAAAGCCTTCCCACTGCTCGTGTGTCGCGCATGACTAACTGCATGGACTTCTTGTGACGACATAGTCTTTAGCTGTTGTTGTGAATATTCATACGATTGTGCAATCTGTATTGCCTTCTCTAGGGTCAACTTTTCTCCTTCTGCGATGAGCTTCTTTCTGACCTTTTGCGAAGATGTGCCGAAAACAATTCTGTCACGGATCATCTCATCTTTGCTGTTACCATAGTTACAGTCTTCTGCGAGTACTCTTAAACGTGTCACAAACTGTTCAATTGAGGAGGCTCCTTGATTTTCATTATTAAACTTGAACCTCGCGCAAAAATGGGGTTTAATTTTGGCTGAACATGTGCTTTGTACCGTTTGTAATGCGGCTCAAGTTTCTTCTTATCATCATTTGACATGTCTGTCCAAGTATTGTATATCTCGCGGCCCTTGTCGCCAACCCATAACAGTAAATACGTAACCTTAGTCTCTTCATTTTTCTCTGACAGCGGTCCTTTAAATATGAGATCCACGTGTGTCCGGAATTTTTTCCACTGTTCCGGTAAATTCGTCGCTTCCCAGTCCATCTTGGGAGTAGGTACACCTGTCAGATCCATGGCTGACTTCTGACACCATGTATTGTTATCGGGTATCTAATAGAAGTATGCTAGGTCCGCCAGTAGGACTCTAAAAACAGTAGAACACCATGTGTGTGCGTCCACGTTTATTCAGTTCCAAACGTACAACATGCGTTATGCAAATCAAATCAATTCGTACATAAATGATTCTTGATAATGTTACAGTAAGGGCTAGGGCTTTTATACTTCACATATATAATTCTTTTGAGAAGACTTTTCATTGGATACCAAAAACTTTAACAATTTTGACCCCCATGACCTTGGAGTTCAGTGATAATATTCTAAGTAGATGACATATGATAGGGCGTTCATATTAGACACAAAATGTCATTAAAAAATGACATCTCACCCAAAAAGGCACCGAAAGCGGGGGACCACAATTCTTTGAATTTGCTTGTAATATTATATACAAAAAGGACACAATCTAATTAAAATCATACTTCTTAGATCCGCAGAGTGTATATTCTAATAGATTGAAAATGTACATTTCAATATTTCTTCCTGCCAACTAAAACAAAAACATATAATTAATAAAAAATGATACTTGTGGGGGCGGGTGGGTGGAGAAACGTCTGACTGCACTGAGAAAGAGCCTTTGAATGGCATATAACTTTTACATACGCTAAAGCGTGCGTGCTTTAACAGAACAGGTTTTCTATAAATACTTAAACCAATCACACCGATACTCTTCATATACACTAGATAAACATGTGTTCGATTGATACACGTGTTGTGATAACTTCAATAAATACATTCACTCACACCTTTCGCTTTGCCTGAATGTATTTCAATTACCTTGCGAAGCTCTTATCACATTACATACCCTACATTACTTGAATTAAAGAAACTGCAACATCTATTAATTGAGAATGACACATTATAAAGCTTCATCGATTTAGGATGATTCACTGACTCAGCAGATGGTCGCAGCTTATCAGTTTAATATTGATATGAGTGGAGCGTAGCGGAGTCAGCCGAGGATTACCGCGATTGGATCAAACCAGTAATTCCTGGCTTAAGATGGCGGTAGTCACATGTCGTTCCGTACGAATGAGACAGCAACTGCCAGTCTAGAATTATGGTATTTTTATTTTTAGGTCACCTTAGTCACTCAGGTGACCTATTGCTATCCGTTTTCGTCCGTCGTCGTCCGTCGTGTGTTAACACTTGAACATTTGCAGCTTCTTCTCTGAAACCACTGAACCAATTTCAACCAAATTTGGTATACAGCATCTACATGTATGGGTAAAGGGAACAAAAATTGTGAATTTCATGGTCCCCGCCCCCCTGGGGCCTAGTGGGTGGGGCCAAAACCACTAAAATTAGTGCAATCATTAAAAATCTTCTTCTTTACTCCTGGACACCAAGCAGGCTAACTATTGACATGAATGTAATGAGCATTGAGTCATCTACCAAAATTGTGAAATTCATGGCCCCAGGGTCAGGGGTTCTAGTGCTAGGGCGGGGCTAAATAGGTTATATAGTGAAAATGCATTACTTCTTTAAAAATCTTCTTCTCTGCTCCTTGGTATTAAATAAACTAACTAAGTACATAATTATGATGAGAAAGAATGCCTCTGCCAAAATTGTGAATTTCTTGGCCCCAGGGTCAGGGGTTTTGGTGTTAGGGCGGGGCTCTATTGATTATATAGTGAAAATGTATTGAATCTCTGAAAATCTTCTTCTCTGCTCTGGGGTATTAAATAAACTAACTAAGTACATAGTTATGATGAACATGAGTGCCTCTTTCAAATTTATGAATTTCATGGCCCCAGGGTCAGGGGGCCTGGTGTTAGGGCGGGGCTCTATTGATTATATAGTGAAATGCATTAAATCTCTGAAAATCTTTTTCTCTGCTCCTGGATATTAAATAAACTAACTAAGTACATAGTTATGATGAGCAAGAGTGCCTCTTCCAAATTTGTAAAATTTCTTGGCCCCAGGGTCAGGGGTTCTAGTGCTAGGGTGGGGCTATATAGATTATTCAGTGAAAATGCATTATTTTTAAAAAAAATTTCTCCTCTGATCCTGAGTATTAAATAAACTAACTAAGTACATAGTTATAATGAGCAAGAGTGCCTCTTCCAAATATGTTAATTTCATGGCCCCTATATCAGGGGTTAGCTATTTGGTGTAAGGAGAGGGGGGCTCTCCATTACATTAATTCTTTGAAAATCTTTTCCTTTGCTCCCGGGTATTATGCCAATGATTTAAGTATATATATATATTTATGATGAAGAAAGGTTCATCTAGCAAAATGGTTAATTTCATGCCCCCTTGGTCAGGGGAATAGGGGCGGGGGGGGGGGGGGGTACATAGTCTGAAAATAAATAAATGCTTTGAAATCTACTCATTAGTATTAATCAACCATATTTGATGAAATAACATTTATGATGATAAAATTTTGAAATATGTGGTCTCAGAGTCTGTGGTTCCTGTGGGATGGGGTGCACAATTGCATGGTTTAGAATGGAAGTGCATTTTTCTCTTAGTTACTCTGATCTACTTATTGGTTTTAAGTGACTATCTAGTAAGCATTGCTAAGTGTATAATTATGATAAGCAATAGTGCCTCTTTCAAAATCGTGAATTTCATGGCCTCTGGTTTAAAACACAAACCAAATTCAATTGTTGGAAAGTTGTTACATGATACTCAGGTGACCTATAAGGCCCGTGGGCCTCTTGTTTTTAATTGGGTTTGCAATAGGGTTCGTGATGCACTAAGTTTATGTCGTGATGCACTACTGCAATAAATGTTCTAAAATTATCATGATTTACAACTTGCTGGATACCTTTATAGTGACAGATATAAATCGAGTTTGATTTCCTTGGTATAAAATTGTTTTCAACCATATCAAATAAGCTGATCTGATCAAAGTATTTGTGTGTGTCAAATGGCATTCAAAGACGCCACCAGTCTTTCTTTGTAAGACAGATCCAAGACATTTCTTTCATATCCTTTTTTCATATTCCATTAGTAACTCAAATGTCCATATTTAAGTTACAATTTTTCATACACAGACTCTAATAAAATGATACCCTAAAGAGAAAAGGGGAACCCGGTAGGGGACATGTATTGCTTATGCAATACTCCCAGAATGCTTGTTTCATATGGAAGATACTTTACTACACGATCGTTTGCTAGAGAGGTATTTTTTTTTATCTCAGACAGAATAAGTTTCTTTGTTTCGATTACAGGTAATTGTTATCTGAAGTGCTTTATGTAAACTGAAAAGCGTAAAATACCTACCTCCTCCTCTTTTAGCCGCCTCAATCAAAGCTGTCTGGAACACTGATATTGCCCATGGTCTGGGAACAAAGCTTTCGGAATCCCCAATGACTGAAAACACGACTGTAGGAGTGCCTTTTACTTGTTGTTCGATTTCATCCCACGCTTTTTCAACATCAGACTTTTCCATTGAATGAAAACAAAAAATTGGTTACTAGTAATTTGAACATAATAACCAGCAGAGAAGTAATCTTTGAGAAAACAAGATGTGTTTAAAACACTGATGCCCCGTATGACAACGTCACAGTTAGGTTAAGCTGAACACTTGTCATAAACAAGCTAATTCAGAGAATTCGTGTCCCCCGCTTAGGGAAAAACTCGGATCCCCCTGACTGAATTTGTAGAATTATTAAATGTATACTGAAGCAAATAAAATACATGTATGTCAATATGCGTATAAAAATTTGATTGCTTATTCTTTATTATGTGTATAGAAGATTCTTTTTATATGGAATATTTATCACACTGTAAAGATGATTTTATAACCTTATGAATTATTCTTTTCACATGCTGAATACTATCATTTAAAAAAAAAGAAAAGTTTAACAAAAAAAGGGGAGGATCGTCCGAGACTCGATCGCGGGACCTCTCACATATGAAGCGGGAGACATACCACTAGACCACGGAATCGCTTGAAATGGAGTCACGTATATGCAGAAGTGAAGTCACATACATGTATATATTCATGTTCGGTATTGTCAAAATTTTACACAATCCATGGTGTTTGATTTATTTAGCCTTTATTAAACCGTTCTAATAGATGTAATAAGAACATAAAGTCCGCCGAGAACCTGTTTTATACGCAATAACTCTCCGCATGCCTCTGTGCTAAAAATAGCGACATGTAATACTATAAATACTAATAATAAAACAAACGGGGCGGGACACTTTGAGAGGGGTGAGAAAGGTCCTAGGGAGCTTTGGTATAAAATTACATTGCATAAGCTCAAAATCTTCTTGAAATATCGCCCGGAAATGATAGTGTTACACACAGACAGAATGTATAAATTTACGACCTTGAACTTTGACCTTTTGACCTCAAAATCAATAAGGGTCTTTCTTGGGCCACATGGGGTTGTTATGTAAAATTTCATTGCAATAGCTCAAATGGTTATAGAGATATCGTGTGGAAACGAAAGTGTTATAACAGACAGAATTTGCTTATCTATGACCTTGACTGTTGCCCTGTTGACCTCAAAATCAATAGGGGTCTTCCTTAGGCCACAGGGAGTTGCTATGCTAAATTTCATTGCAAAAGCTCAAAGGGTTCTGGAGATATCGTGTGGAAACGATAGCGTTACAGACAGACAGAAAGACGGACGGACGGACGGACGGACAAACCCAAATTAATATCCCCCACTTTTCAAGCGGGGGACAATAGGCACTGTCAGACGGGTATATAAACCGTTCGATTTCGTTACACCCGATTGCACACTCGAAACTCGTGGTCGACATGTAGTACTGCTTTCGTGGTCTTAGATTTTTTGCGTTTATTCCCTTTTTTATGTGCATTTTCTGTTTGTAAATAATGCATTGACCTGAATTGTTTATGAAACTTTTGTCCTGTTATTGAAAAAATACGTTAAATTTCATAATTCATCCCGACAGTGTAGCAAGGCAGTGTAAGATGTACGTCTTCACTCATTGGACCTCTACAAAGAATACACTTTCTATTTTTGAAATTGTTTTTA